CAGGAGCTCGGTTACTGCCAAGACCGAGGTGCTCCCTGCAGCCATTTGATGTCCGCTGGGGAGGGGGCACAGAATGCCGCCAGCCCGGGACGGCAGCCCTCGGCAGCACACTACAGCCACGGCTCCTCGTTTACTGGAATATTGCATGGGACCAGACTCTTTATAAGAAGTGTGATGAGGTAATTAGAAAAAAACACAACTAGGAGTTTTCACTTGTGTTTTTATGCTAAATGGCTTACGTCACTAAGTATTACATAAGGGCAGTATTAATAAGCGCCCTCCCCTCCCAAAGTCAAAATTAGCAATCTCCAGTTACCTTCTTTTTTCTCCTTTGCTTTTTACTCATTAAGGCAAAAAGCAGGTATCCGATTACTTTCTTAGTTCCTACAGGGACATCCATTGCAACAGCAGAAGCGTAGGTGACTTCACGTTAACCGTTTCTTTGCTCATACCTAGCAAGTAAAACCATTCCTGCAAGGGAATTGCTAGCTCAAAGTTCCTAACGGCACACAATTTTCAATACAGAGATGCTCCTCTTTGAGGACATTGATCAATGCATCCCTCACCCCTGTCATTTGGGCCTCCAAGCCACATATACGGCAACCAGCTAAGAAAGCAGATAGAAAACAGCAAAGTTTGCAGGAAGTCTGATATCAAAGAGCCTCCCTCACCGAGTCTTTATGCATGTGTAACTTTCCTTTCAATCACCTGAACAGAAGACATGCTCCATAAACAAAGGAAAACATTTAAATTGAACTGTTGTAGTTTAAACTTTATTTAAAACAGCTGAAATCTAGTCTGCAAGGTTCTGGGTGGAGTATCAAACTTCTGCAACATCCAGGGAAACTCCACAGCAGTGATGTCACTCTGCACTGGGTCAAGCATCAAGTCAGGTTATATTAACGTAAAAGTGTGTAATGTCATCTATGCTTGAGCAAGTCCAAGAAACTAGTAACCTAAATTCTTCCTAAACATTCTTCTAAAAACCCTAAGAGTGAGGAAGGGGGGGGGGGGACCCCAAAAAAAAAAAAAAAAAAAAAAGAGAGAAAGAACAATTAGAAGATAACTGCAAAGCAAGAGTAAAAAAACCAAACTCGTAAAGGCATATACTTTTATATCCATTAGCTAGGTTAGTTTGAGACTAGTTGCGTAAACGCATGTGCTGACATAGAGGTTAAGGGCAAAACAGCCCTTAACAGTCTTGGAACACTCAAGTGGAAGAATTTGTTTAAAAGCATGGTAATATTACAGGGTTGTAGGCTATTACAAAACATTTACTTTTCATATTTGCTTTGCTGTTTATCTTATCACCCACTTCAGCTTCAATTCCTTCAAATTCATGATGGATTTTTATTTACACAGGTGCTGAAGTTATATGCATACTGTAACTAGTACACCGACTTACAATATTTAATTACCATGGTTTTAAACACAGGTCACAAAACTGACATAACCATTTTATAAACTGAAGGTGTAGTTCTTCTAAAAGCCACTTAAGTAACACAGGTTCCATTTCTTAATTTTAACCTGTGACTAAAGCTAAGCCTTGCAGTCTAAGTTTCAGGGTTTTTGGAGGGGAAAGGGAAGAATAAGACCTCTCAAACTCACTAAGGCCAGTTTTCTAAGAGATAAATTGCACTTGAAGCAAGCTGGAAACCAAAGATAATAAGGAAAAAACTAAGTATATTGTGATAAATATTGTCAAGTTTTCGTCACAAGTTTGGAATACTCGCAGTAGGGGGAATGCTAGGGAATGAAGACCTTACAAGATACATGCCTCTTCTTATTCCTTCACAGTCCTTCCGTCTCGTCACTAGGGTTTTAGGTAGGTGCTTAAGATGATCAGAGCTCAGAATTGCTGTTTAAGCCGAGCAACTCATTTTAAAAGAATTCAGGGGTATCTGTTGTCCACATAGCAAACTGGGACTTCAGCTGTCAACGCAGTTTGCAAACTGTACTATTCAGAGGGCGTTAATTCAAAACCTGGAAATACTAGAAGCAGGAAAGCAGTCTCCTCAAATTTACTCTAGCATGACATTATCATTTTGTAGACCATATTTTTTTGTGGCACTGCCCCCTCGCCTTACATTTGGATTAGTTGTTCGGGTTTTTTAAGCAGATCCCATCTGCATTAAAAAAAGAAACTGGAGATTTTAAATTTCTCTTTGAAAGATAGTATTTTACAGTACATACAAAAATACTCTGGAAAAAACATATAGCTTCATTTACAAAACCACCACATTATAAAGACATTACAATAGCGAGATAGCATAACAAGTTTTTCATATGATCAGAACGTCTTACCACCCCTCAAGAAACCATAATGCACTTAACTGGGTAAGCAGTGTTATCGGTTTACAGAACCAGACTTAAGACTACTACAAGTTCTCACATAGCCATTTAGAACAGCTTTCAGGGTTTATCTGAAACCACTTTCTGCATGCCAGTTGCTTTCAAGACTGCAGCTTGCAGGGGAGGGGTAGTAGTGTCACAACAGCTTCGGGCTGTTGCAATGTTTAAGTACATTCTTCATCTGTGTGTTCCGAGTTCAGCTTTACTACCCAGTGACAACAAAAAACCCATCAAGACTCATGCTGGAACAGTCTTAAGACAAAAATCGAGTAACCTGGCATGGGACATGTCCATCATCTCCATACCTTGGTAGCATCCTCTGCTGCATTTTCTTCACTATTTAAACTCTTTATGGACCTCCATGGGAGGCAATACTTGTGTAGTGCATGGCTGTGCTAGACAGTGGAAAGCTCCTAGCCAAGGATGCTGAGCACCATTGTGACAGATGCACGGGAGTGTATGTGCCAAATGGGAAAATAATTTAAGATAAGAACAATATATGCACATGAATTAGGAAAGCACAAATGAATACAAGCGTGTTCATACACACTTGAATCCAGAATGTGGTTGCAGTGACTAGTTAACCCTGTTTACGTACATTCTGAATCCAAGTCACAGGACAGGTTGTTTTTTCGTGGCTTTTTCAAAAGCTGTTTTGGCTAGTGACAGTTAAGACTTTTTAAAAGATTAACAAGAATAACTGTTACAAGAATATGCAAATAGTTCAAAAGGAAGCAAGCATCTAACAATACTATAAAATAGGACCATAATTTTAACTGGCCAATTGCAGTATGGCAGCAGTAGCCTTCCATACATTGTTAGTGACTACAATACACATTGTTAATATGGACCACTGAATAAGTGATTATCATCTTCACCTGAAGAGATACAGTTACCCATTAAGGGTAAGTTTGATGGATCTTTTAATAATGCGAACACTATTTGTTGGAACAGGAGATGAAGAGTCTGGTAGTTCTTTACTTGAAAGCCTCTAAAACACACAAAAAGATGCCACACACACAAAAAAGGACGTTTTAAATTCAATAATTCAGAAGTAGCAGCAGATAAACCCTTTCCTAGCTGAATATAACAACATTCTGTATGTGCCAAAACAGTATGGCCCAAACCCAAAGGATTTTTTTTTCACCACACCACTTGTTTAGTTACCACCAGTTCATATAGGAAGAGCATTTTCCCCTCTACATACTTCTTTCCTGGCATCGAGATAACTATATTCCTGAGGGGAGAGGGTGGAAGAAGTTGCAAGTTGCTGAACAGCGTAACAGGGGAAGCTACCATTCTTCTCAGATCCATGGATCAGGAAAACAGAGTGTCCCTACTGTCCAGACAGTCTTATAACCCTCAATTTCACAACATTTTACGTGACACAGAGGAGTTAAAGCCACTTACACACTTCAAAGCTTCCAAGTCTTGTCACAGAAATCAGTATACAAGTATTTAAGATAACAGCTCAGATCACCTAATGGAAGATCTGCAAGGAGTACAGATCTTTTTACTTAAGAAAAAAAGCAAATCAGGAAACAAACTCTGTCAGTGTTTGAGTACACGGAAACATGTTTTTTCAAGCTCAGTAACTCGGAAACTTTGGCTTTGCTTTTGTGAATAAACCTGGAAGGTCACTGTTCAGCTACTCAATTTGGTGGAAGCATGATAGGCAAAAGCTTACCAACTACTTAGAACCACCAAGTTTTCAGGGATTAATAGTACATAAGTCTTTGTATATAAAATGAACATTCTAATTTTGCTTTACCTATGAACACAAAGGCACAATAAGTAATACCTGTAATCTTGGGGTTTTGACAATTGGAATCAGGATGGCTCTTCCTTCAAAGTAATCCTAAAAAAAAGCGCCAGAAGGTATTTGTTAGGCAGTATTGTCAAATTCAGGACTTGAGACAGCAAGGTCTGGCAGCTAGGATACTTAAAAAAAACCCAACACCAAAACTACAAGCTGGAGGTTGTCAATGCATGTATGTGTTTAGTTTTTGTTTTGGTTTTTTTAAGCCCTATAAGCACATACAGCATTTCAAGTATTTTAATCTTCATTTCAGATGTTTCAACCTTTACTCTACCAACAAGACCACATCTTGATTTGAGGGTGTGCCCTCAAGAGTTTATGCTTCAGTAGCAACCTACACTAAATATAAAGCTCTTTATGCTCCCTTTGAGAGGCCAAATACTTTAGTCTTTATAGTAGTTTTAATTTACATCAGTGAATCAAGTGGTTTAAGAAACAAAATCTGACTTCAAGCATGGCAAGAAGCTAGCTGCTATGGATACTACCAAATCATCTAGTAGTAACATTTAAAAGGAGAGATCGTATAGGTGTAATATTTGGGAAATGAAGACTGAAATAAGTTAAACTGAAAAGGATATTTTTGTTTACATCAATAAATGTATGGAGTATTTATATGAGGTAGTCTAGGCATCAGAACAGTTCGTTCAGCTTTTCGGTTAGTCCACTGAGTAAAACTACTTCAAAATTACATTTTCTGCAGATCTCCTGACATCTTCTGGTTTGCCTTCATCTTTGAATGCTGAATCCTGGTCAGTTAACTAGAACAAAATACACAGACTCAAAATGATTGCTATACTAGCAATTGTTGCTTCCAGTCAACACATTAAACATATTAGTGGCTGTTCTTAAAACAACATTTAAGACCACCATTTCCACACAGGAATCTCAAGCCTCTCAAAAAGTCTTACTACCCAAACCTTGAAATCTGTACTTGAAATATCCAATACTAGATAACAGTTCTCCAAGTTGATTTTTACAAATGTCAAAATTGAGGGTTTTTTTCTAGTTGTTCTTTGCCTCTGCCTCGAATCAGAGGTCAAGCCACAAACACAGCTATTTAAGGAGATGTATATATAGTAATAAAACAAATCAAGCATTAATCTAAAGCTTCCACAAAACCAAGATTTAACAATCAGCTCCATACTCATGTCAGCATCGGACCTACTGAGTAGGCTGCTGATTTCTAAAGCAGCAAAACTATCAATAGGCATTCAAAAATAATCTGCCAGAACAAGATTAGCTCATACTTTTACATTTATAATAGTCATATCCTCTTAATTTGGAGATAATTTTTTTCTGAATTGTTTTAAGAACTGCTTCCGAATGAGCCAGTTCATTCGGCAATTGGTCAGTGCAGTAATATATGGGTACAGTAGTATTTAGAGACCCTGCCACCAGACCTGAAACAGTCACTAGTGCCAGATCTTAGAAAAAAATGTTATATAGTTATACATTATATTCAAGACAATTTCTTATATCTACATCCTAGTAAAACTATCACTATGCTTAAATTTAGATTCCTGAATCCATTGGGGATGTATACATGCATTTCTTCTCAGTTATTTCATTCATTCTACATCAATAATTAACACTTCAAACCCTCCCTGGCCTAACCCCCCTTCCTTACCTTTTCTACATTAATTGGTTTATTGGGGGATTCTTTGAATGCAGGTAAACAATGTCCCTTAAAGATCGTTGAATAATGTCGTTTAGGTGCGGTATTCTTAGGATCTGCAACTGGAGTCCCACTTAATCCATCCTGTCCTTGGACAAAACGTACTCTGATTTGAGAAATTGTGTTATGTCCTGGAACAGTGCAACCAATTGGAGGTCCCGATGTTCTTATTGCAACTTTAGCCTCCGTTTCTGTAGGAGACAGAGAGCTTTTAGAATTTGGCCATGAAATTAAAGACTGCATTCCACTCACTACTTCAATACATACTTGAATCAGTAACAGGAACGGCGAGTCCCTTAGACACTGGTGGCACAGCTACACAAGTTATCTTGTCTGTATTGTTATTGTTAGCACCATTAGATCTCTGATATACAGCATTTCTGTAAAAGTCAGACACTAGAGTTATAAAATGCTAGTTTGTAAAATACTATACATTTCATTTCCAGAAAGTTCATGCAAGATGAATATCTACCTTCTTAGCTCATTGTCACAGCTCTACCAAACAACACGCACTCACAGGCAATCTAGCACGAGATCTTAATTTTGCTTAACTTCAGACTGCAAATTTAAACGTAAACATTTTCTTTAGTGAATCTCTATGTACCGGTGCTGGTTTTGAGTGCGGTATATCCAGCACTCTGTGCTGTTTGTAGTGAATGTACCTGCTCTACCTATATGTGCACCCCAATTTTTTTTATTTTTTTAGCATGCTACTCCTACGGTACCAAACTATCTGAATGCAGTAGGCATTACACATTTGGTAGTATTTGGCTACTACTCTCAAGGTTAGATATTCCTCCTGTGCTGAAGTAGCTTATGGACAAACAGACTTCCCAAAAAGTGACAGGCACTTTTACTGCCCGAGTTCTCATACTTCTCCACCAAGTCAGCAGCAGCTCTACAGCATTTCTGTGATCAAGAGCAGCACTTCATTAGAACTTTATACTGCTTGGCACTATCCATACTTTTTGTTAGAAAGAACAGTTACCTACACATAAAATACTCTAGCTTCAAGTTACACACTAACCTATACCTCTGGTATCAAGTTGTTCTTCATTCCTATGTGTTCATGTACATCAAATTAATTTTTTGAAGGATTTCTTTAATGTGCCTCCCCCCACATGCCCAAAGGAGATGCCAGCTTTGTTCCTGAAGCCCTTAAAGCCCTCTACATGCTGATGATCCACACAGATTCAAACAAGAAATCCTAGACCTCATTTATATTGTGAGTCAGTTAAATGCAGCTTCTTCACAGTTCTAAAGTTATGGTGCAAACCTTTCTGTCCCTGTGGTAGAGGCGTCCAATTTAGATATCCTATTTAACAAAGAGGAATTACACGGTGTTCTGGAGTTCGTGCTTTTGGAACTGTCCAAACATCTTCCATCAGAAGTAGTCCTTCTGTACTGAAGCCCATTAGCATTTTGACTAATATCTGGCATGCTTTGCTGAAACAACAGTTTTTTAAAAAAAAATAATAATGAAGTCTTCAAGTAACTATTAAAGCAGAAAAGATACTGCCAGAAGAGCCAAATTTTTTGTTATACCTTCTTCCTTCTCTGTAAGGTTTCTGCAGGCAAAAAATAGTGGAGATGCTTTCTCTTCACATAAGTTGCCTCAATCTTCATGTCTTCCTTTAGAATCTTGAAATTGTTAGCCTGCCTGTAAACTAACATAAAATCTAGCTTTGTAGGGTAATGCTTGCATTAAGTATTTGTCAAAAAGTTACACATGGTTTCTTTAGAAACAGCAAGCCTTTAAGTTTGTCCAGGCCAAAGCGCAAGAAGTTTCCAGCCTAACTGACCACAAAATGCTGCCCAAGCACTCCACATATAGTCTCAAGAAGATGAGTGTGACCCAAGATGCCCATTTCACATCCACTACAGACCAGATACATAACAGCTATTTAAGTTCAAATATGCATTTATGTGCTCAGTTACAGCTGTAGTTTGCCAATCATGCAGCTCACATCTGAGCTGATTTTAACCTGAAAGAGATAATACTCCTTAACCATTAGTTTTCTGGTTGAGAATAGATCTAGAGGACCTTCTGAATCAACCCAATTGCACACAGCTGATGAAAGACCAGACATATTACTCAAGATTTAAACTAATTTTTTTTTATTTGATATTTACCATGGCAATTGGGGTTTTTTTAACAGTTCTGTAACATCATATAACTTCTCGATAGTTTAGATGCTAAAATTCCACCTGTCCAAGTGAGTCAGAGTGGATTTCAGGGACATCTGACTTATCAGAATCACTAGAATTTAAACAGCTTTTTCTTACTTGCCTGCAAACAGCCTTTTATGCAAATTAAAAATGCTATACTAGCACAGCAGTTACCACAGAATTAAGTCATATTTAGGCAAGCTTATCTAACAGGCCTATCATGAACATCACTGGAAAGTCAGCTTATTAACATACAGAGTATGAATCAAAAGGAAGGACATGCAACAAAAAGGCTTATAAGTCTTTCTACAGGAGACCTAGAAGTGAAATAAAAGCACAAATATGAACACTCACACCAAGATGAACAGGTGCTTCAAAGTAAAATTCAATAATGTGTTTACATAAAAGTGAGATAAAGTTCACTTAACAAAAGCCTTCCAAACAGTGAGCCTGATATTCTTGAGCTCATCAACTTAAAGTTAATCTTTGAGAGAATATTTTTAGAGGGCAAAGTCAAGGCACACGATAAAAGCTTTCTTGCACATAACTACTGGTCACTCCCACATTTGCCAAAGGATTTCACACCTCAAGAAATAACTTTTCTGTTCAATCTCTCTGAATTCAAACCTATATCTGAAACTTGCTATAGGCTGTGCTGCGCTAAACTAAGAGCACGCAGCCTTACTAATGAAGTTTATGCATAGAAATAAAGGATTTAACATTAGTTCCACCCTCTTAGCGGTACATAAACCTTGTTGACATAATTTACATTTGCTACAATGTTGAAACACAGTGCCACTGGAAGTAATGTACAAGACCAGCATCAGTACAGATAACAGTGCGAGTCTGAGGAAGTCACCCCATCGGACTTGAAACTCAGACAAGAGCTTTGATACATTTTTCTGTACTTTTCTCACATCCCAAAGCATGAGCTAAAAAGGTCAGGTTTTACTGCATGTACTCGTGTTGTCCATGCTGTTACTCTGGATAAACTCCTCATCGGTGCAAACAAACATTTAAAGGAGTCCACTGTTTAGAACTCTTTGTCCAAACACACTTGTCACTTCAGAAGAGAGAGCTTTGGTGCATTTTTCTGTGCTTTTCTCACATCCCAATGCATGAGCTAAAAAGAAGGTCAGGTTTTACTGCATGTACTCATGTTGTCTGAGCAAGACAACAGAGAGCTCATGCTGTTACTCTGGATAAACTCCTCATCGGTGCAAACAAACATTTAAAGGAGTCCACTGTTTAGAACTCTTTGTCCAAACACACTTGTCACTTCAGAAGAGTAACCTGATTTCTTTAGTTCTTCATTATGATAGCTAGGCAGGAGCCTGACAGCACACATGCCCTTCTGAAAGGTACAAGAGCAGTCAGCTTGGGAAGAAGTAAACAGAATATGGAAGAGACCTATACTTCCAAATGACTCCTCACCCCCAAACCCCTTTATTCTGGCATTATCTAACAACACTTGCAATTACTTTATTTCTACATTTATCAAAAGTAATAATGGAAGATGAACATGAAGGTTTACATGCAAGACCACATGTAATTACAACGTGACAACTCACTGACTTTCAAAGTTCTGGGATCCTATCATACACCAACTGTCATTTTTGCGTCAACAGGCATTAGCAACTCATTTTAGAGCCTAACACAGTTAATCTCCACTTTCAAAGTTCAGCAACTGACAACTGTTTTTGACAATTGTAGCTACGCCCAGTAAACGGATGTCTCCTGGCTCCACATCTGACCGGCCACTTCATGAAAAGCAATTCCTATGCAAGTGTTTACGTCATGATCTGCAGAACAGTTATTTCACATAAGGTGTATGACTGCGGCACGCACTTTTGTTTCAAGATGGACTCACTTTGCCAAATTGTCAAAATAGTATGTTTTTTAAGCTAATCTTCTAGATGTTACTTTCTATAGTAATATCTAATAACTTCACTTTGTGAAGCAACTTCCGCTAGAATAAACAAAACCCTATGAGAGCAAAATAGAGGCTTACCTGTGTCTGTGAATGACTGTATAACATTTGTTAAATCCACGTGAACACTTTCTGCATTTTCCACTTTCCTAAATATGATTCCAAGAAACCACATTGACACATATCCACTCCTAGAAAGACAAGATTGTCAAATCCATCATTTATGCACAGATGCCAGTTATTTGGATGCTAGTATCTACTCTCAGGAAGGGATTAAGCAAGATAGTTTAGTTGTATGCAGCAGTTAAAGATTGGAGTCAGACCATACTTAAGTTCTCAGAGTACTTCTCTGAAGTTCTCCCTTCTTTAAAAAGATCTTGCATGCTCAGAACCTTGCCCATCAGAGCATGTACCCACAAAACAGTAGGTATGTAATTGAACATCTCTCACAGATGAGCTGAATGAATATAAACAAGTTACAATACACTGGCCAAACTGTATTTCAGAAAAGTAACGAAACTCACTGTTTACAGAGGTCTTTCTTGCCAGGGAAAGCCTGTGGCTTTACATGTGCAAAAGTTATAAATTCATTCTTCTCCAACTTTCCAACCAGCACACGAATTTTAGATTCGACAAGGCCAATCCTAATAAGAACAAGAGATATTTACTCATTTTTAACTGTATCCAGCACAGTAGTTATATGCCTTTTTATAATACAATGCTAATACAAAAATGCTAACCAATCCGTAAGTAGTACGTTTCATTCAGCTGAGCAGAGACTAGATTTTTATACCGGACACACGTCAGACACACTGTAGTTTGAGACATTCTCAGTGACATTTGAGCTTTAAAGTTCCTAAAGACAGAGGTAAATAAGTTTAACTTGTACTTTTAACAGTTCAGATACAACACGTCAGCCTATAATCTATGATGAAAATATCAACAAGAAGCAGCTCCCAGCACCTCTGGCTGCATTCTGAAGTGCAGCAAAACTCCTTTTTACCCCAGAGATCAAGGGGAAGAGCAGTTTCGAAAAGGCTCAAGCACAACTGTTTAGTTAGACCTGAGTAAAGATGCAATTCTTTCTGCAGATTGATCAGTGAAAAGAATTTACCCTCTTCCAGCCAAACTGAAAAATAGAGTTCCTTTAATAAACAAATTATCTAGTCAACACAGTCTTATCAGAAACCTACCCAAGAAATTAATCATGACCATGAAGGCTTTTCATTTAAATAAAGTACTGGCATTTTACCCTTTTACCTAAATCACTGCTAACTTTGAAAGTAGTTAGAGATCTGTACATTCAAAAGTATCATGTGTTGTTGACAAACAGAGATGTGCTATCCAGTCCCATATGCATTCAAGAGTTGGTGAACTAAACTTGTTCTTTGTAGCAAACTGAAGCAAGTTTATCTTCTGCTTTTTAGTTCTCCCAGATGCAGAACTAAGCCCCATTCGCCTCTGTCACTGCAAAAACATCAGCTTTTACTGGAGCCAAAACTTTCTTCATCTTTATTGTGAGATAAAAAAGCTTTGTTCACTTAAAAATATTTCACATTAAAAATTATTTGGTTCTAAGCCCTCTGCCCATAACTCCTTGTAGTATACACAACCGTGAGCGACATCAAGCTGTAGCTGATCCAATTTTTTGAGTGAAAATACTAGAAAGTTCAATTAAAAGGTATTACCTATGAGAGCTTTTTTTAAACATTGAGTAAGCGGTCTTTTAGAGATAGCATTAAAGAATTAAATTGAAGTATAACCACGGTGCCCTCAGAACAGGGCTCTGTTACACAGAGCTATTTTGCTTGCTTACTTGAGCAAAACAGGCAAAGTATTCATTTCTTAACAAAAAGTTAAGACCACACACATTAGAGTACCTTAATTCCTCACTCTTTCACCTTATTTGAAGATTCACGGTTAGTCAGCTCATTCACATGGGTTAAACAAGTTATTATTGGCATATCTCCCTTAGACAGGGACAAATATCATGTCATAAGCAGTCATTTCCTCGAACTACACGTTAAGTTTCACAAAGTGGATCAGCAGTCAGTAGATCAGCAATTTACCTGTCCACTACCAAGTGTGCTGAAGTGATCATTTTCAGCACTAAACGCAAGATGTCCGAGCACACTACTGGATTAAAATTCAGTGAATAAAATTCATCAGCATTCAGATGCTCTGCACAGACTGTCAGATTTCACCCAGATTAAAAGGCCTTGTTTCACTTCACTGGAGAAAAGTAGGCTCTGGAATAGGCTGACTACATAGCCAGAGCAATTTAGCATTGAGTAAAAAAAAAAAGTTATGAAACCAAGTCTTCTAAGGCTCTAGAACAGTGGTCTTCAAAGGGGAGCGGGGACATGTGTACCCCAGGGACTGCACAAGGTAATCCATTGGGGTATGGGAAGAAAATATTAGAACTTCAGTCATGTTTATGTAACTTGTAAATAAGTTGATATATATTGCAGGTACATGTTCAAAAATATTTATTTTGCTGATAGGAGTGTGCAATCAAGAGTTTGGAGATCACTGCTGTACAAGTCAGTAAAAGATCTAGCTCTCCACTGCCCATTACACATCTGATTACATCAAGTAATCCCTGTTTGCCTCACTCTCTGCAACAAGGAACATCTTCCTAACCCAAGCAGTGTTGGGTAAGCAGTCTCCTTAGACTCCTTGCATCCGCTTCTCCGGATGACACAGAGCATCTGGCCTTCAGGCATACACACACTAACCCTCTTTGTTCCTTCTCATCATGACTCAGATCTTCAGGTTAACTTCTTAAACACCATGATTTACGTTAACTTCCCTTCACAAGAAAGCTTTTAATTTTGCTGATGAACTGTCTACCTAACTTGGTACTGTATTCCATATCTAGCTGCACAGTTTAATACTTCATTTGTTAATACAGTTAAAAATAAAGTGCAACATTGAATTGAGTTTCAGTTATGTATTGAACCTGCGTTTAAAGCGAGACTTACCACTTTAAGTGATGCTCTTCAGTAGAGGCACTAGCAGTCAGCACAATATAATGTCTAGAAAAGGAAAATGAATATACTAGCTCAGGACTTTGTAGTCCTTCAAGTGAAACCAAAACTGCCTTAAGTGTACAGAATACGACTTCCATACAAAACAGATTATATCCTGTATTCGGCACAGTAGTGACTGAAGAACTCATTACATCCTTTAGAATTGCATTCTGCTACATTCTAAATATCATAGTAGATTTTTTTCTAATAAAAGCAGTGTCAATGGCATAACACATACAGTTTTTCTATCTTCCCTGTACTTATCCTTACCAAAATTCATATGACTACCTCCAGTTTCTGAAAAACAAGTATTAATGCCATCTTCTATTTAGGCTGCCAGTTAAAACTCACTATGCTAACCAGTAACTGCCTCATTTCAAGTTCAGACAACAGATTTCATACGTACTTGTACTTCTGAAAGAAGTTCAGTGGTTCAAAGAGCTTTGACCAGTCTGATTTTCCTTGGAGAATCTCATTTGTAACTGCAAGACCTACAATTAAGGTTGAAAACCTTATTATCGTTTTGTTTTCAAGACTAGCAGAGCACAATATAAACTTTGCAAGATAAAGGTTTTGAACAGTAATTGACAGATCATAAAGCAGGAATTTCCTTGACACAATGCAGGTCTACTGCAACGGTTCACTGTAAGACTGTTCCCTTATTGCCTGCAACAGGCATACTTCCCAGAGTACTCCCCCCCTAAAAGGGCAGAACACCTCATGCAATATAACCAATTCAGATAACGTGGTTTCACATAGCAAGAACTGTACTTTTTAATCTGTTAATAAACATGGAAAGAACTTTACCACGTTTTAATTCCTCTACTATTACTGCTCGTGTTGATGTAGACACGTTGTATGTAGAGTTCTGCTGTGGATAGGCTGGGGTGATGATAGGCATCACATGATATCGGTCTGATGGGTTCACCTATGATGTTAAAATAATTTTGCTTAGCATCGGTTTAGGTTAGAAGAAAGTTTAAAGGTTTCTGAATTCAATTTCTACATACCCTAGGGTCCCATACTGGTAAATTAAGATTGTTCTCCTCAGGTTGTTTCAGCAATACAGGATTTGGCCACTCCCTAGATAAGAAAAGCCAGTAACTAACTGTCCATTTAAAACTCTGCCATGTAATTCAGGGTAGGATCGAATGTTGTTAATATAAATCTTATATAAAAGAACTACTTCTAGAAGTGTTACTTCTTTATGCAAATTAAAATAAACAATAGCTCTCACCATTTCGAAAAAACCAAGAAGAACTTGTTCACAAGAGTAGAAGCCAAAGCATTTGGATAGAGTTGACATGTTCTTGCTACTAGTATTGCCCAGGAAACCCCACCAAGAAATCCCAGCACGTTGGAGTAAACGTCACGTCCTAGAATGGATACGTTGTAGTTAGCCTGTAGTCTTTCAATATCCAAGTATATTCCTTCAAATTTACAGCACCAACTTCATCATCTATAGAATACTTAGCACAGTTCAGCCTCAAAGTCAGATGTTTTTGCAGTGCAATGAGGACAAATTTTTTTTTCTTACAGTAATGAGAAAAAGAGTCATTACCACACCGCTTCCCAAAATACTGCTCTCTGAAATTTGCCTACACTGGTACAGCTACCGCTTCACTCCAGCTTCTCTTAAGAAAAAAGTTCTGCCATTCTTCCAGCACTTGCTCTAGCCACATGTGTAAACATTATTTTCTTATTCCCTATATATCAAGGTTTTATACTTAACTTAGCATTTTTATCATTTGTACTCAGGTTCCTGATAAGCAGTGCAGCACCTTGTCTTGTAGGCACTCCCCTCTTCTCCCCACTCTACCCCCGTTAAAAAAAACACACAGATCTACCATGTGGAGAGACCTTGAATCTAAACTAACAACCAGTTTTTTGTTTAAAAGCTGTCATTTAAACAGCTATCCAAAGCTGAAGTATTTCTAATGGTCTTGTTTTCAGCATGAGATACCTCTGAAAAGTTTAAAGGTCATGAACAATGACACTACTTACGTTTTGCCCACAGTTTAATTGCCCGGAGTGTGAGCCGGAAGTTCTCTTTATTTGGCACTAGATGTAGTATTTCATCGGTAACTCTGCAGCCTGTAAGAAAAAAGTTGAAGTACGCAAGTTCCTAATAACAGGTACAAGTCAGTTTTATGCTATATCGGATCAATAGCTTACGCTTTATCATTCAAGTCTATGAAAACAAGTTTGGATTACTTGCCTTGTATTACCTTAAAAATTATAGATTACACATAACATGCAGCATTACTTCAGCTAACTGGTGCCCTCAACAGTTTTTTCATAGTTTAGAATACAGCCAACAATTTTTAATAAGGCCTTTCTACAGGATTCTGAAAGCTAGGTTTCTTTCAACAGCCAGGAACAATCAAAGCAGTCAGTGTTAAACAGTGAGCAAGCTAGGTTTCAGGTGTTGTAAGGTGTTTTTTTTCGGTGGTTTGGTTTTGTTTTGTGGTTTTGTTTTCATTTGTTTTTTTTTGTTTTTTAAAATGAACTACCACACACTGTTCTCTATCAAGTACTCTACCTATTCATCTGAAGCAGTTTGTGGCAAACTAGAATAACGCACACACCCTGACGAAAGAAACATGAAATACAGGTCTATCTAAACACACAACTTCTTGAAACATCTAAATTTAAGCCCACTCACCACCTCCTCAGATGTCAAGTACACAGGCGATCAGTTTCTGCATCTTGTACAGAAACTTGGGTTGTGTAATACATATTCTATACCAATTTTAGTAATACTTTCTTTTTAAAGAATTGTTCAAGGCCAGGTTGGATGAAGTTTTGAGCAACCTGGTCTGGTGGAAGGCATCCCTGCCCATGGCAGGGGGTTGGAACTAAGTGATCTTTAAGGTCCCTTCCAACTAAACCATTCTATGATTCTCTGAAATATGCTTACCATTTAAGCTCCGTATGCATCTTATATCGAGGTTTCTCAGGCACGAGTCATCTCTGAGATCAAGACTATCAGGAACACTTTGCATAGACAGTCTTGCAAACACGAGATCAATCTTAAGAGGAAAAAAAGTGTGAACCATGAATTAGAATGCTGCACTGTTTGTGAACAGCACAATAGTGGGGGACAGTTAGTCAAATCTAAAACAGAGTGGTTAACATTTGTATTTAGAATTATGTGACTATAGATACATCTCCCAAGAGATTTATTTGCCAGAAGACTCAAGAAAATTGCTAGAAGTTACATATTTTATTTACAAAACCTTCATTGCATCACCCCTTTCTTTTTAAGCTAGGCAAAGAAAGGTTTGGTCTTTAAGTTGAAAAGATTACTCTAAACTTAGAATTTCTATTAAAAAGGAACTTAAAATAAATCATAGAATTAAGACATAAATTCAAGCACCTCAGCTATACTTCAGCAAAGGACAGAGCATTTTCTTTATGCAGTAAGCCCTTTTGATCCTGAAGCATATGTTTTTTAGCGCAATCTGAGGCAAGAAAATGATTCTATGAATGTCTGTACCAGATAAAGGCCACAAAAACATCACTGAATAAGTGTCTTCATGATAGCGATACCAAGTGACACACACCCCTCTGTAGAAAGCTAGCTTGTTAGCAAGGACACTGCCTCTACTCCCACTCTGCATGATCCTTGTGAGATAAATGCTATCCAAATAAGCTACTCCGGTCTACAGCATGGGTTTAGAAAAAGATGCCCCTGATGTTCTCATGCCTGCCAGGCTTCCTAGGGGCTTATTTCCATGTAACCTCCCACTTTACTGCAGTGTCTTCTCCTGGGATAGGTTGTGGTCAGGCTGTTCAATTACAGTTTCCTAAATAGACTGTAAGGTACTAATAACCTTGTAAAATAGCACGTCACAGGTCCCCGGAAAAGTTATTTCCAAAGCAAGAAAAAAATAAAAATAAATTTCTCACTTAAAAAAAACCCCAAACCCCAGAATTCTTACCTCAATGCCATCAAATTCAAATTTCACAACAGGTACATATGCATCTTCAACTGCCTGTGAAGGAGAAGATAACCTTAAGAAAACATCTTTTTGCTACTTTAATGTTTTTCCTAAACTATGGTAAAAACCAGAATTTACACTGCTAAACTACTCAGTATAAAGACTGAGTTGCTTCTGAACCAAAAAAATTGTTAAAAAGCTGCAAGCAGTGTAGCACTAATACAGTATTAATACTAGCTTTAAACAGTTATTTAGCCAAGAGATTCAGAAGCTGATCGTGTATTGTCATGAACAAACAGTGCGCAGCAAGCTGTCAGTATCAGTGGTGGGAAGGTACTTATCTTGGTAGTGAGGAAAAAAAAAAAAAAAAAAAGAGATTTCTGTAACTATCTTACTACTGGTTAACATCCAGAGAAATCTAAAAAAAATTCTGCCCGCATTTGACAGTGCACACTGGTCTCCTGTACTTTGATTGTCTACTGTGCCTGAGATGCTAGCAGCTACCTTATGGGAGAGCTTTCAGTTTTGTAGACCACTTCTTAGAACTGTGCCCCAGTGCACTGTGAGTGTGTTTTCAGGTGACAGTGATCTAAACGAAGGCTCCTTAGCTATGCAGATGAAGTCTTTTAAAATGTCTGCACAAGGAAGACTAGGCTAAGATAAACACTTCCCAGGAATTCCGTTTTATATGCAAGGTACACCATGTATACACCTGCGGGTGATTTTACATGTTATACGTTCACAGCACAGCTCCTATTAATTTTAGGTGAAGCTGACAGCGTGCATCCCTTCCGCAAAGTCTCAGGTTGAATAGCCAGAGAGGAACATGACCAGAGAAGAATGAATTACATGTCCTAAAGTACATCCAGAGGAAGATCATGGCAAAGATACTGGCAGAATCGTTTCCACATCATATTCAACTTCCTTGGTTTTCAGGCTGCCCTTTCCTCTTCCTGCACGCAATTACCTGGTTTCCAAGCCCTTTACTACATCGAAGATTAGAGCAAGGCTCCTGGGGACAACCTTGCTTTTTGCTACAGCTGACTTATTCCCAAACCATGGGTAGGCAAAAAGCATACCACAAAGACTCTTATGTGAAGTACAGTCATTGGGGAAAGGAACCAAAAGCTTGACTTCAACGTTTTCATGCTGCATAAAACAGTATTTTAGAAGGTGCTAAGAAACAATTTATTTTTTAATTTTGGCTTGTAAGAACATTCACTACCAACATGAGCCTTTAATACCAACATTCTTATTGTAGAAGTTGCACAATCTATCAAGGAAAGAGCTTACTCACTCTTAGATTCTTTACTTCCACCTGATGTTTTAGTTTTTCAAAAAATGACTTGAAAAAATCCGATCTTTCCACATGTCTAGGAGCAACACAAACAGCATCTATGTCAGCACCTGCAAAGAGATTCCATTTCTTCCGTTATTGTTTTAAACATTTTAAACTTTAAACTTTTTAAACTTTTAAACATTAAAACTATGACCAAACAATGAAAGTTCTACCTTTAGTGTGTACTCCCAGCCTGTAAGAGCCAAACGTACATATTTTGCCACCAACATTTGCCACTGCTGAAGGGGGAAGATTCTGTGGGTAGAAGAGAGGGAGTTTAATTTAGAATATAAGATACACATTGACCTATGTGGAAGTTTAACTGGCATACAAGTTACTTAGAAAGACTACGACAGCCACCATAAACAATGTCTTCTCACTCCTGTACCGAGCTGTTAGCCTAATAGTCTGATACTGTTTTTCTGAACTGAGTGCTTGTAACTAAAAAAAATGAGTAATGTAGCAGTCCTTTCATTAATTTACATAAATTAAGACCTGTTGTTAGTCTTCCCTGCAGCAGATGCACATTAGTTAACACAATCTAAGAGCTATACAGAAGGCAAGTCTAGCGTAAGCCCATTTACCATCTCGCTCACCCCACAATACATTGTTTCGGCTTTGTTAACTGCTACAAGTGCACTGACAGAGCCACTTCACAAATTTATTCAGTGCCCCAAAGGCTTCCAGATCTTCACCTGAAATATTTTTTATACCTTGTTTCAATGGCAGTTACTACATCTCTACTTGATACCTGAGAAAGTTAAAAGTTGAACTTTAGCATGAATCCTAGTAGTATGGGCTTTAAAAGAAATAAAAAGGTTTCAGCTGTTTTGATAAGAATATATAAAAGAATCCTTACCTTGCTCTCACCAAGTTCTGAAATCCATTCTTTGACCAAGTTATTCAGTTTACCAAGAACAACCAGCCTGTAAAGAAAATTCATATTAAGTTTGCCTTAAAAAAAAAAAAAAAACAAAAAAAAACAAAACCCAAGAGGTTAACAAATTTTACAGTCTTGTTATACCTGTGATTCATTTCTTCGTCATCTTCAAATACCCCAAATGCCTTCATTGCTTCAACTAGCTTCTGAGTCTGAACACGATCTATATCATTAGGAGGAGCCAAGCTAATCGGAAAGGTAATTCCATAGTGTCTTTGAGGCTGGTTCTGCAGCCTAGAAATACTGTGAGAGAAAACAAAATACTGAAGACCTCACAAAAGAAAAAAAAAAAACAAACAACAAACAAACAAAAAACAAACCCACAATCCCAAAACTTACTGGAAAACACCTTTCAGCTTACAGGTTTCCAACTCAACTTCTACTCTTTTATCCAGCACTCATATAAATGAGAGAAAAAAAAAAATCCTGCTTATGACTTTTAGATAACTTGATCTAACTTAGAAGTCACAACTACTTTTTTAAAAAACATCTGTGGATATAAGAAAAGATCCAAGCTGCTACCATCTTAATACAACTTATTTGCATTGCTCTAGACAGTTAGAACTGATCACCAGGCAATGAAAAGGTTTAAAATCCACCAAGGGTGACACTACATGCAGCAGAAGTTTTGGACACATTTCAGTTTCATATCAGTTTTGATTTCAGGTTATTCCCATCAGCTTCCTGCTAACATTAAACAAGACAATTTAACACTGGCTTCTTTTAGTCAAACGTATGTGTTGTACTTCTACTGATGCTGGAAGGACATTATAGTTGATTGTAGAGGAAGGACATATAATGAAGTGGTCTGTTAAACAGAGTTGATGCCGTAAATTCAGTATTACCTTGGTTTTGCTCATGGAAAAGTATGAATGAAAACATCAACCAATCTGCAGCTCATGTTGCTAGGAGAGCCTCGTGCTCTTAACACAGTGATCGATTTTTATAGTTCAGAGGTTTAGCTGTACATACATCTTTTATCTAAATCCAAGAGATGTACGTCAGCAGATAGAGCTGAACTTGTGCTGCTTCATTTGTAGAAGGTGCTCAAATGTGGCTTAGCTAGCTCACTGCCCAGTTAGGCTAGGCAGGACACCAGGCACCCGGGTTTGGAGGCCCACACGATGTTACTGGTCCTGGAACTCCAACTACAGCAAGGTGTCATTTTCACCTCCAAACCTCTGCTCGCCTGCATGTTTAGATTTATTTGTCATCAGAAGCAGCACAGGATTGACATGGCAGGACAACATTAGTATTTATTTACACCATAGAACCCTTGCTTTAAAAAGGGAAAAGTGGAGAAAACACCTTACTTCGCATTACCAGCTGAAACCAGGAGAGAGAAAAGAGTGGGACCGGAGCCAAGAACTGTACTTTATGGATCAAGGGTCTCTACAGAAACACTAGTAGCAAAAGTGGGAGACACGTTAAAAGGTCTATACATCTCATCATGCTTGTCAAAGAGTCCATATACAGACCCTAAGTCTAAAGCAATTAATTATGCCATTGTTCAAACTGGATGCTTTCCTAGTTCACATATGGATAGCTTCAAGTGTTAGTTGGGTTAGTCAAGAGATGCTTATAACTATTTAAGGTATTTGACCCCTTTCAGTTGGAATGGGATTAGGAAATGCTCAAAGGACAGCTTCAACTTGATTTAAGAAAAAGACAGCTTGTTACAGCTCCTTATTTCTAATTGTTGCCTTTATTTTTCCATTGAGAGAAGATGTATTTCTTTCTCTCAGTAGCTTTATCCGACTACAGACATAGCTTTTAGTCATCTAGGAGTTTTTTCCTCCCCCGCTCCTCTCTATAAGCTCATTTTTCAAACTTTCTTCTACGTGTTTTCCAAAAAGCTGGGGTGGTATTAGGACTGCGGTCCTATCAACTAGTTTCCCCGGTTAGGATAGCTGTTTACTTCAAGTCTAAGTAGGCCTTGACCTAGTTTGCCTTGCCTTGTTTATAGGCATTGTCAAGTTCTACTTCATAAGTAAAAATATTCATAATGAATATTTTCCTTCCTATGATTTCATTTTCATAACAAATACAGAAAGAAAGCCTGCATTTAATTGCTGTGCATTACATCTAAATTAAAACACCCACAGCAGCAACTTCCTACATGGTTTACATATTGCTTGCATTGCACAGCTTGCACTTCAGAAAGTTCGCACAAAACAAGAGCGGGTTTTAGACTTTACTAGCATTCACCGACTTTCCAGTGTACAGAAGGCCACCACCTGCCTTTCATTGCCCCATTCTTCCTACAGAGACTAAAATTACAGACTGACATAAAGGACAGTATCAATTAGATATATCAGATGTTATTCATATCAAATTATTTTAGTCAACAGTAGATATTTTTCAGTTGCCTGCATGTATTACTGAAAGTTTGATCTCACAACTTAAAAGTTGAGGAAAATGGCACTTGGAAAGTTTTACTGAAAGAGTGACTTATGCCCAACAGAATTTATTCCTCTTTTCGGAATTAAAAAAAAAAACCAAAACTAAACTTAGTTTGCTCTCTCAAGTGTCCCAGACTGCCAGGCATATACAAAGAAGCGATGGCGAGACATGAATTAGCATATGCAGCATATTACCTATTCATCCATCAGCCTTCTCTTTAAATGAGGAATCTGCTGCAGTTTACTATTTTGCAAACTCTTGCTATGATTTGTCCACCACAGTCAACTCCAACATATTTCTGTTCTGACAGATCCTAATTTTATACAAGAAGTTCAACTGATTTGTTCCAAGTTTTGTCCTCCCTTACAGCTTTACAAAGCCGCAAGCCGTTTCTCCTGCGTACTCTGAGACAACGGGTAAGTTCACGCTCGTACAGCTCAGGGGGCTGCCACCGGCGCAGTTCGCTGTGGATGCACTTCCCCAGCTCGTGAGGTCAGCTTGCCTCCAGCCAGGTAGGAGTTTATCACTCCGTTACCGAGACTGGGAATAAACCTCTTACCACCACTGCAGTATTAAGCAGCAGGCACTCCTTTATTTCAGCGCTGCGGACATGGGGGATAGCTGCGCCTATCATGTTCACCTCAGCATCAAAATCTATCAGTTTTTATACGCTTTTTCTGCCAAGCCACTCTTACATAAGTTCTTTTTCATAAAAACGCATAATATGCTTGCTCTTAAATTTAAATTGATTGGTTTTGTTAGTTATATAACCTTATCAGTATTCTTACCCTAAAATAATCATTGGCCAGTTCTACTTAGCTCTACTAATTGGAATCTTTGATATTCAGATCAAGATGGGAAGGGTAAGGGGGTTTCCAAGCACATAACTGATGTCCACTGTACATAACTAGTATCCATGACGGTTTCCTAGGTTTCTTAAAGCAAAACAGAAGAATCCAGTAACTACCTGGTGAGGTTTCTATGGTTTCCCATTTCAAACATAACCATCCTATGGTTAAGTATTTCAGAGTTAACAATCCTAACTTGTACATTATGCTTTACAGTTTTCTACTTAATCAAACCTAACTCTTATGTACGATCAGATCTTATTTTATCAGAGTATTTGCAACATCTCCAGCCTCTTCCACCCTCACCACTTGGGAGAAGGAATGACTGGAAATCAGCTACTGAACGACCAAAAGGGATAGCACAAATCAAACAAACCAACCAAAAAAAAAAAGAACCCACAAGGGCCTCCTGCAGTCAAAGCTTTTAAAGGTTTGGAGATAATGTTTACGCTGAGAGATCCAAAAAGCAAAGCCCTGTGACCAGCAGCTCATCTAGCCACAGAGTCTACACCTCCTTAGACCTGCCAGCTTTGGAAGAAGTGTCTTCATTCCAGGTCGCTGTTAGAGGTGACCACGCAGCGGGGAAGATGGGCACATAGCCCCTGCGTGTCGAAACACGCCACAACCAGGGGCTCCCCCCACGGGACCCTTAACCTGTGCCTTCACATGGAAAAGGTTCATCGTTTACTTTACACCAGAGTTTTCCC